CTTATGACTCGGTTCTTCTATCTAAAATAAAAGTGCCTATGCACAACGAAGACTTGTTACAGTGTCCCTATTATTATGTTTAGATCTAATGTAGAGTCACAGAATATACGAGTATAATACTCGTAGTAAAAGTAGTTCTGTTTGGAACCATCAAATCAAATCAGTTGGAGTGTCATTAGAATAATATTTAACACTTTGTTTTATAATCCTTAAAGCTATAGTTATTTATTTAGCCTTTTTCCATTTTTAGAAAGAAAGAAAGAAAGATACATTAATTAAAATTTTAGCCTTTGTCTTTAATAATACCTATACACAAGTACAAACTATACAGTATGTCCCAAAAATTAGTGTCAAGCCGAAGCCCAGAGGTAAGAGCATCACAACTTTTTGAGACACCCTGTATGTATAATATTAACGTGTCATACAGCATAACGTCTCATACGGATTATATCGGCATAGTTACCCCTAAGCAAGCATAGCATAGTATAGTATGTCGAGTGGACCACATCCCCGCCCGCATAGCAATCGGCTAATGGCCACGGTTCGACCTCCGAACGCATGTGAATGATACGGCATTAAAGGAAGATATAACGATGAGACTGGCAGAGAATGCCATATGAGCATAAGCCACCTTTTTTTAAGTTGAAAAAAAAAACAGGTGGGAATTGAACCATTGATTGACATGACATGAGCTTATTGACATTGACATTGAGATGCTGAAACGTAATTGCTGCATTTAAACAGTCAGTGCAGATATAAAATTCCAATGCAATGAAAAGTAAATTTTTATGCAGTTGTCATGTCATATTCATCACATACAATTAAGCGTTCACACAAGAGAAATTAACCATGAAATTCAGTTTCGTGATATTCAAGCTATTATAAACTGATATTAACTTCAGTTTGTTTAATTTATTATTTAGTACAAAATAAGATAAAAACCATCTATCTTTCTGATTGAAGATTGATATCCGTTGTCACCATCAATCCCTAATTTTTAAGTGACCCCTATGGCAACACCAGGAATTTTGATTTCAAAGGGGTCACTTAAAAATTAGAGATTGATGGTGAAAACGAGCATTAGTAAATTAGAAATTATACTTGCAGATTTTTTTGTTCCAACTTTTTCTTTTAGACTTATTTATACTATGTATTTGTATAAAGACAGTTTTTAGTGCAACTCAAATGCAACATAGTTGTGCTACACACCAAAAGGAAACTTGCCATTATCTATAGCAAGGACTTGCTATGTACTTACACTCGTCAGATTTGATCACTCTACCCTCGCTTCAATTGGCGGTGATCTCAGTGACGGAATATTTGCTATGTCTTCAGTTATTTTTGTTATGGCAATTTTAGTAGGGTCGTTGGTCCTATATTGGGCCTGTTATCCGATATTTCTAACATTATTTCTACTAATATTATAAATAAATAAGTTTTTAAGGACTAAAAATGGATGGGTCTTTGGTAATCTGTCATGGAAAAACCACTGAACAGATTTCGATGAAATTTTACAGTATTATTGTTTAAACATCAGAATAAAATAGGCACTGAATTCCTTGAGGAAGAAGCAGTGGTAAAGGCTAGTTTTTTAAACTTCCTTATTGATGTAAGTACGTTACTTTAAAAAAAAGCTGGTAATTAAATAGTGTAGTTTCAAAACGACTCCTTAAAATAAATGTCGAAATGGACAATGATGGAATTTATATGTCAAAGCAGACAAAATAAACTAGCAAAAGCTCTGACAATAGCAATGGCTTTATTGATTAGACCCTGATTAATGCTGAACCCAAACCAGCGCAATAATCCCAAATATTCCTCGGCCTTGTTATTCGAAAAAAGTCGATATTCGGCGACAATGTCCATCCTTCGGAATCTAAAAAATAAAGAAAGTATTAAAGGGACATTCCGGTAGGGTTGCCAAGATTAAAATTGTTAGAATCGACCAGTTTACTTGGAATTTCTTTGATAAAAATTACAAAAAAAAATCTTAGTATTTTTTTATCAACATTTAGCTATCAGATAATGGAGATATAATGTAATTTAACTGGGCTACAGTAATACCAGTTCAACTAAACTGCTGTATCCTGGCAACCCTACTTCCGACAGTACTAAGGCCACATAAAACGCGTGGAGCAGAAAAAGCCGTGATTTATCGTGAGAAGGGACATCTCGCGGCCTCCGCACAGGTACCTCCGCGCAGGTGCTGTGCGCCTGGTACTCGGCCTAGCGGACATTATTTATAACCTTTGTTTGTCCGTCTTTATGTTACCATCTCGAAATATAAAAATAATATTAAAAACAATAAATCAACTGAACATCAAAATTTGTAGCAAAATGTTTAACGATACCAAAAATACTCGAACATTATGAATTAAAAAAATTGAGGATCTTAACACATTCGGATTACACTTTTAAAACTGACACAATCAAAACAATGTACAATCAATTACACGTAGACTTCCTAAACTTGCGCCAGGACAATTAGAGCAGTATTTATAAGTAACAAACAACCACGATTCAAAAGTTATTGAAATAATGTTATTATAAAGAGTTAAAATAGAAACAAAAAACCAACATCGTTGAGTGACTTGTATTCATCAAAATCAAATATTTTCTTAATTAATGAAATAATTGCAGCAGCAAAGTGATTGATTTACGATCCGCACTCGCCTATTTTATATCGTAGTTAATTGAAAAGAAAGCATTCTAAACAACGGTTTGTTCTGCCAGCGACAGCGGGCAAAATACCTACGACGATGAAATAAATCTAAAAAACGCTCGGATCCAACAGACGGACAATGGAACGCGGTGGATCGGTTAAACTGATAATTAATAGTGATTATTGAGTAAAAATAATTGTCGGTTTCTTCAAATTACGCCCCTCGAAGATCTAATTTCGGATCCACGCAGCACAACGACTGTTATTATAAAAATCTGCCGTATCTACCATGATAGGTATCACAGCTCCGGAGCACCAATTGTTTTAATTTGAACTAAAAAAGAATTATGAATGTGTAATTGGCATGTTTGGAAACAACTTCAGCATTGTTCTGTTTTGTTGTACTAATTGGACTTTAATAATCGGTTCCGACTATCAATGTTGCCGGTGTGAATGCGTTTTCTTTCTCCGTTTTTGATTTAATTGACTGTTTTGATTCGTTCGCCAGATATAAGGGAAATTACACCGCGTAGGCGAATCCTGCCGGTGATGTAAGACTTCCCAGAGTTTTCATACAAAAGTGCAGGAATAAGTAAAGTGTAAATTCCTTCTGAATTCTAAAGTAATGCATTCGCTTCGCTGAAATAAGTTTTCCGTTTTACCTTTTAACCTGCGCATATCTGGCAGGCTCCGTTGAAACGCGGCCAACTTTCAACTTTATTTGTATTGACGACCGCCGTTTTAGAATAATAGAACTCGCAGCATTTTTACTCATGTTTTTTGCATGAGATATATTATACGGTGTCACACACGAACGGTTTGAACGGGCATATTTAGACAATTTCCTTAACAAATCCCCTGCTAGGGGCTCGCCCTCGTATAAATAATATAACATTGCCACCTCACCTCGCCCTATTCTGAAATTCGCCAGGTTATTACAATTTTTTGCGTTATGAATATCGTCGCGAGGAGCGCCTTAATATCCCCTCACGCCGAGGGAGTCACACCTCAGCAATTTTACTTTAATTCTTATTTAGAGTGCCGCCTTATTTCGGTTACAAGATTTTTAGTATTTGTTTATGGCTTTAACTTGTTCTTTGGCCCGTCTATGGGGCCGTTTTCGCTTTTTTCAACGACGTAATTCGGGTTTATGTTTTCCAGTTAGTTTTGTACTTCTGGGGGATGATGCAGACGCAAATTGGCTACAAAACAACCACGAAGCACCGGGGCGTCGCGAGATGAGAGATATTTTTAGTGGCAAAGGTCAAGGGTGTTTTATTTTTCAAAAATCGAATGTTCATTTGGAGTCGCGCGGCGCGACGTCATCGCTCCACTATCAATCATGCATGCACCATTGCGCCGCGCGAGCTTTTGTTCGAATTACGAATTTCGAAAAAGGAACATAACGCGAGAGAAAATTATGGCGGTTGCGTTCTTTTTAAAATTCGAATACGAAATTTGCCCCCCGTGGTGTTGCCCGCTGCAACCAGCGACGTACTGCGCTTGTGTAATTACCGTTCAATTATATAATTAAAAAGAGCATCGCATTTTGCCTTATTCGTGGCCATAGTTTTTGTTCATTAAAACTTTAGATTTCGTGTGAAGATGATAATAGAGTTGCTGTGACAAATAATAATAATAAACAGTGTGACGTTGTTAAAAAACTGGAGAGATTGCTAATGGTGTATGATATTGCCTCCCCTCATTGGGGTAAGAAAAGACTAGGGTGGCAACACCTTGGTTCTCCCAGGAGGTATTTTTTGAGTGGAGTGTTCGTTTTTTTAGGTGTTTTTTTGCGTAATGACATCGAGGTCCTGGGAGAGTTGGTTGGATCCATTAGATGGGCGGGCAGACTTAATGTAGCGTTTTTTCGTGGATCCGATCGTGGGCATGTGTCGCCCTCGGCGACATTAGTACCAATTGTAATGGCTTTTTATCTGCGAGGGAGCTGATGATTGCTGTTTCTTGTTAGATATTTCCCTAAGGTTACCCACCATTTGTATGGGATGGAGCAGTTGAGTCAGATGTAGCTTTTATCTCAGTTAAATCAAAATATCAAGATTTTTTATTCTTCTGTATAACAGTCAATCTGCCACGAGTGATATTTTTAATAAAAACTTGTTAGCAATATTAAAAATGATTGAATGGCTTAATATTTGTACTCTCACCTCTAAATCCTAGAAAAACCCAGACACAATTTTAGCGACCGCAGATCGTAAAAAGAATGTCAATTTTAAATTTGGAGATGAATACATCAATTTACACGAAGTCAATGCCTTCGCCTGTTCAGTATTATAATAAAAACATTCTAAATTCAAAATCATTTTGTTCTTTTCAGGCAAATGGTGCGGGTCCCGACGCGAATGGTCGCAGTCGGACGCCGCGCGGCGGGTATACCAGTCAGTGTTCCTGGGCAGCCCGGGTGAGTACCCAGGTAAATATCGCGTCACCACCAGGTGTGTTCCATTTTTGAATTTGAAATTCCAATTGCAAAAAGAACGAACGCCGTTTTGTTTTTTCCTCGCAAGGAGGTGGACTCATGATTAGGTTATTTACCTTATTTAACTGTCGGATTTTAAACGTTGCGAAATGAAGTGAAGTTGAGTTGAGAAAAAAGTAATCGGTCGACATTTTAAATTGGATCACCTAACGATTATGGCCGAACTAAAAACAGGATTTGAAATTTTACTTAGATACACATGCCATTTGCATTGCCCGCAATGAGTTTTTTGAAGCCGATCGAAAGTTATAACGGCAACTATATCATGAATTATTGATAGCATATAAAAAGTACAAGTTGAAATAAATGCATTCTCAAGCGACAAGTCAAGTGGAAAATTGAGGCCATACGTCCTAAGAGTTGAAATCGGCGCGGCAGAAACCAATAAAACTAATTAATTATTTGTTTCAAGTAACTGTCCTCACCATAGGTTGTCTGGAAGAGATCGCTTCATAGCGATAAGACCGCCTAATTGTACCTTGTGTGTTCCTTTTCTTCTGTTATGTTATTTGTTTGGTGTGCAATAAAGTGTATTTATTATTATTATTATTATTATTAATTATTATTTTGCTTGACAATACTTAATTTTCAGTAAAAATGTGAATATTTGCTGAGCGTTAATTATTTTTTACGAGACAGTGAAAAGTCTTAAGTCCATCTTCTTAAATCAATCTTTTCTAAACAGCACTTGGTTTGAAATCAAAAATGGAAAATGCATCTGTCATATCATTACTATTATTTTATACTTATTAATTTTTTTCAGGTATAAATTAAGATGAGACGTTGAAAATATAAATATTAGCGAAGTAAATAACTTATATGCGCTATTAATTCTTGGTAAGGCTTAATGTAAGCAATATAAACCCCGACAAAAACGATGCAATTTTATCATTATCAGTACAGTAAAAGTAATTTTTAAGCGTGGGGATCATGGCAAAACCCTCCACTATAGTGGCGGAATCTCATAATCCAGCAGTGGACTGTAAAGGGCTGTTGATGATGATGATGATGAATTTTTAATCATAACAAAATGCAACGGCACTTACAGCACAAGAATTAAATACAGAAAAGAAAACAAAAATAACAAAGTATTTCAGTAAGTTTATATCAGTTATTTAAATAGTACCCATAGTAGGTACAAAGTTTTAGGACTAAATGACTTGGTGTAAAAATATGTCCATGGATATTTATTTACTTTATTGGTTTATTTAACGCCATCTATTTTTATTAACCTGATATATTATTATCGTGACCTACCACGTCAGAAGCATCACAAATGTAATATCCTCCAGAGAAGTGACGTGTGACGTAGGCATTCAACCTTGCACAAGATGATCGATGGCCCTCCGTGACGTCACACTACGCATACCTATAGCAGACAGGCTTTATCGTTTTATGTCTTTGCCTATGGTAATCAAAAACTTCATACAACACCTGATTTTATGCCTTTGCCTGTTTATAGAAAAAAAATTGTGTAAAACTGAGTTCAAATTAAAATTACAAAAAAGGAATTAAATAAATGCTATAAAATTGAAATTATAACAAAAAGTATCATATCAACTCAAACACTGGCAGTTTTTTCATTGGAATGTTTTTTTAAGAAACATTACTTTGAACATTGCATTATTTTAATTTTTTGCCAAGTTTAAGAAAAAGGGGTGATTTGAAAAAAGAACTCCAAGAACTTTTTAAATTGCAAAGAGTACCTATCTTTGGAGATTTCGTGTCATGTTTTTTTGTAATAACATTGAAATGGTACAAAAACAACATAATATGGCGAACTTAATTCCAATAGTCTTCTCTACCAGTCAATTTTAACTTTTGCATCAAACCGGTCAATTGTAGAGTCCATTCAAAATAATTTTACAACTTTTGAACTAGTTTACATATCGGGTTTTCTTCGTACTACTTACCTAGGCCTCGACCTTGCTGCTTGATGGATGGCCCGTGACGTCACGCATGTAATCTGTCGGGGCACGTGACGGTGTCGAGCCTGGAAGACGAGGCTGAAAGTAAAAGTGGAAGCTATTGGAGGAATATTTTATTTATTTATTATTTATACAGGGTGTGAGGTAAATGGGTATATGAGCCGACACTAGCCCATGTTAACATGGGCATATAAATGGTATGGTGAAGTCAGAAAATTTATATCTTCATTTTAATTATTTTAATTTTCATACAAATCGCATTTTATAAAATTTATTTTGTATGAAAATTAAAAAAATTAAAATGATGATATCAAATTTCTGACTTCACCATACCATTTGTAACATGGGCTAGTGTTGGCTCATATACCCATTTACCTAACACCCTGTATATTAAAACAACTTTTTATTGCCATGACAGGATAAACTCAATGCGTCAAATAAAGTTACTCTACGGAATTCCATTATGGTAATAGTAATACAACGGCAGTAAGGAATAAGAGTGTTTTCTGCGGCTGAATGGATTTGGATGAAACATAGTGTTTGACCATTACGCAAGATAGTTAAAAGTCATGAAATTCATTTATTTTATGCAAAATAAGCTTTTAAAAAGCGCTTTTCCATTTCCACTTTCCCTTTTAGGTGAAGCACGAAACATCATCTCATATTTTTTACTTACCTTCGTTAGTTGTTCATATAATTCAGTATAGCTGTCAGCATCTGCAAACAATAGAAGATATTTACAAGTATGAATTCTCAATTTTATTATAATTACTACTAGCTTTCCGCCCGCGGCTTCGCCCGCGTTGAATTTTGTCTGACACAGAAAAACTTTATCGCGCGCGTCCTTGTTTCAAAAACCGGGATAACAACTATCCTATGTATTTTCCCGGGGCTCAAACTTACTCTATGCCAAATTTCATCAAAATCGGTTCAGTGGTTTAGGCGTGAAAGCGAGACAGACAGATAGACAGACAGATAGACAGAGTTACTTTCGCATTTATAATATTAGTATAGATAGTATAGATTATGAATGTTTAGCTTCAGCAATTCAAAATTTCAAGCAGTTTCAAGAGTTCCTATCATAATTGTTTACACTAAACCATCTGAAATTCCACTCGAGACAATCGATTCTCCTAATCGATTTATTTGGAGCCCTCCAAACGCCTCCACTCGTCGTTACTGTTTCGTCAGCTCGTTACAAGAATTCATTTGGCTGTCAGCGGCCATTTTATTCGTGTCATATCGATTTGACAGTTTATTTTGCGCGCGCGCATCCTGTTCTAACTCCTAAGATCCTATGTTACGAGGTTTGAATGGCCGACGTGCCAAAAGATGGGATGTTAATTGAAAATTCTCAAGATTATTTGACAGAAAAGAATGTTGAAACAAAAAATGCCACTAAGTAACATTTCGAAATACATAAGTATAAGTACTGAAGTGATATAACTTCTACTAAGTATTTACTCTAACTGTATTTTGGTTAGAATTTTGCAATAAAGAAACTGATATAAGAATCATTGAAACTTTTAAGGGTAAAGCTCAAAATACATGTAATGCAATGCAATAAATGATTTGATTTGATTTGATTTACATTTTAGATTGAGGCCTAATTTAAATAATTATACTTATCACAAAATATATAGTCTTAGACAAAGATTGAATCTAATTTTAGCGTTATTTTGTGATGTGGATTTCAACCACTAGTAATCACTAAACCAGTGGCGTAACTATAGGGTGGCAAGTCGGCAAAATGCCACGGGCCCCCAGCCCGAAGGGGCCCCCGGTCAGAGGAAATCTCAATTCCCAACATTTATTATTACACATACTACTTAAGTAAAAAAAAGTTTTGTCTTTAATTTATTTGTTACCTTCTTAGTTGCATACACAACTAAAAAAAATATACCTAGGTATTAAACTTTCAATGCATTGGTAAAAAAAAATTTTGTATGTACCTAGGGGAGACCTAGGAGAGTTGTGACAGAGGTGAGTTGTGACAAGGACGATTTCTCCTTACTTAATATAGTTAGGAAGCTGGAAAAAATGCTTGTTTGTCGCTTTTAAGACGCTCTTCTTGACTAAGTACCTGTGGGCGGCGCACGAGGCACGGTTTCGTAAATATGACGTCTGTGTACAAAAAATGCGAAAAGTAAGTTTTTCGTCAAAATTTTATTTAAGTAAATTTATATCATGTTTTAGTATATGTGCACTGTTGTGTTATTTTTTCTCAAGTTGCATGGTTATTCAGGTCTCACAATGTAGCACTGATATTTTGTGTGCACATCGTGTTTAGAAAATAAAAAATATTATTCGAAACAAGTCGTCATTTTAAACACCTAGGAGAGTTGTGACAGCCTGTCACAACTCACCTAGTTTACTTAATTTTTCTGATGGACCATTTCCACGATGTTTTTAGATGTTTTTTTGTGTGTTAGTAGGTTCATAATTTGTTTAATTGCCTGCTGCTACTTTTTTTGATTCTGAATACCTAATAACTATACATGAATGCCATATAGAGGAACTGCTTGCTGGAGTCGAAATATAGGACCTGGCTTATGAAGTGATTAGGTTAAAAACGGTTAAAGTTTAAGATACGCTGCGACCTCTTACAATCTAAACTTGTCAAGATATATTAAGAAGAAATAGGCTTATCAAGTAAACCCAGAAGGCGAAGCTCCGTCTATGGATTGTACCACCGCGACTATTTTATTTTTACAGAAGAGGAAGAAAATATATTAAGTGACTATATTAGCTAAAAATGTAATAAAAAAAATCCAGTGTCGTGGGAGAAAAATGAAAGCTGGAGAAATGTGGCTCAATCTGTGTAAGGATATCCTATAACTATTTCNCAGGATATACCGCTTAGTTCAAATAAATATAATATAATAATATATAAAAAATATAATAATAGTAAATTAAATTATTTAGTGCGATGGCCAAGTCAATATATTTATGTAAAACGTTAAAGATTTCCTGGCCTGGACTTGGTATTACATG